TTTCTTAATGATGTGGCAATTTATGTTGCAGCTGTGCTTCTGGCTGTTGGCCCCCTCAGTGGAATCTTTTACTCTTACTCTAAGATAGTTTCCTCCATATGTGCAATCTCATCAGCTCAGGGGAAGTATAAAGCATTTTCTACCTGTGCTTCTCACCTCTCAGTTGTCTCCTTATTTTATGGTACAAGCCTGGCAGTGTATCTTGGTTCTGATGTGATTCAAAATTTACACTCAACTGCAACAGCATCAGTAATGTACACTGTGGTCACACCTATGTTGAACCCCTTCATCTACAGTCTGAGGAATAAAGATATAAAGAGAGCTTTGAGAAGACTCCTTGGGAGAGAACCTATAAAAGGATCAATTGCTCTTCTTTTGAAGAACTGTCCCTGTTATCAGGACTCAAAGGATCAGCGACAGAAATGTTGAAAGTATGATTATATTATGGAAGTAGAATTTGTTCATTCTGATAATCTTCTGAAACGTCTATGATTTTTATGTATCTCACTTTGTTTTTTTCTTTTTTTGGAGAGTTTTTGCTATAGGGCGCATGCACTCACCAAAAATACAGAGAGAGACACAGAGAGACAGAGACACAAAAAGGGAGATATCACCCCCCAGGGGTGATATAAGATACCTAGGAGTAAATTTAACCAAAGAAGTCAAAGACCTCTATAAGGAAACCAATGAAAACCTAAAAAAAGAACTAGAAAATGACAACAAAGAAGTGGAAGGACATCCCATGTTCCTGGATTAGAAGAATTAATATATTTAAAATGGTAATTCTAGGGACCAGCAGGTGGTGTAATGATTGCGTTGCTGGACTCCCACATAGTCAACTGTGGTTCAAGTCCTGGACCTGGTGGTTTAATACTCACACCAGGGGCAGCGTCACACGGACCAGCAGAGCCCCGTGCGGCATGAAGGGCTCTCCGGCGCCATGGACTGTCTGCGGTGCCTGCCCAGGCTCCTTCCCCGCCGTGGGGCTGCACCTGCGGCCCCGGTGCGCCCTGACCTTGGGCCTGACCCTCCGGACTGGCGTCCCCGTCCGTGGCCGCGCGGCTGACCTCCTGCAAAGCCGCCACCCGGTCGCGCCACTGGACCCCACCCGTCTGGTGAGATGCCCCAGTTCGGGACCACGGATGTCTCCCAAGCCACGCTCTCCAGCATATCCCCGGTGTTCACCGTGGCGAAATTTGACAAAGAGGGCAACGTTACTTCTTTTGAAAGGTAATAAACCGAGTTATACCAAGAGTTGGGTCTTCAAGCCAGAGATCTGAGATTTCAGCATTCAATAAACATCACGACCAGAAACAACAGGATTATTATGAGAACGGAGTATCTGAAAGCCGTGATAACCCCAGAGTGTCTTCTGATACTGGATTACCGTCATTTAAACCTCGAGCACGGGCTTTTCCGGGAACTGCCTTCCCAGCTGGCTGTCCAGGGTCAGCTCGTCACGTACCCGCTGCAGTTCAAGTTCCGGGCTATTCAGGCGCTCCTGCAGAACCGCATCGGCGTCCTTCAGGAGCATCTCAGCGTCTTGCAGCCCCTCATCCTTGAGACACTGGACTCTCTCGTGGACCCCAAGTACTCCTTCATGGACAGAAGCAAACTGCATGTCTTTTTTTTTTTTTTTTTCTTTCCTTTCTTTTTTTTTTCTTTATTAGCCAAACCACCTGGTTTTATATTGCATTTGAATAGATTCTTTTTTTTTTTAATTTTTTTTTCATTTCATTTTCTTCCATACATTCAATCACATTATTGTTTGTCTTACAAAATGGATATTTAAACAGGTGAACATTTCTCCCTAGTACTGTTGATAAAACTACAAAATATCTTCAAAAGATACTACCATACCTCCTTGTGCCATTAATGCTCTGGCAAAAGCCTGTCAGAGCTAGAAACAGACTGTAAGATTTTCACAGAGTCGATTTTGGAGATCCTGGATGATGAGGAGGTGCTGGAGGAGCTCTGCCTGACCAAGTGGACTGACCTGCATGTCTTTGAAAAGAGCAGTGCTGGGATCGACCACGCTGAAGAGATGGAGCTGCTGCTGGAGAACTACCACCGCCTGGCTGAGGAGCTCTCCAATGCGGCCTGGGAGCTCTGGGTACTCGTTGATGACTCCCAGAGCATCATCTTCATCAACCTGGACAGCCACCACAACGTGATGATGAGGCTGAACCTGCAGCTGACCATGAGCACCTTCTCTCTCTCACTCTTCGGACTGATGGGAGTTGCTTTTGGGATGAATTTGGAATCTTCCCTTGAAGAGGACCACAGAGTGTTCTGGCTGATCATGGGAATTACGTTCATGGGCAGTGGCCTGATCTGGAGGCGTCTGCTCTGGTTCCTCGCCAGATGGCCTTGGCGCAAGAAGTATCCTGAGGAACCGGTAGGAAGGCATGCAGGAAGAAGAGCAGTGCTGGGATCAACCATGCCGAAGAGATGGAACTGCTGCTGGAGAACTACCACCTCTTCTGCTATGACAGCCCCGGGACCCTCTGGTACTCCTTTCACAGCTTTCTTTGGTAGAATTGGACACTTGTCAAATCACGTTATTTCAGTGATGACGTCTGAAGATAAAGCATCGTGGTGGTCACATTGCAGGACTGGATTGCATTTGCAGAGCACTGAATGAACAGTGGAGACTGAAGTCCTGGCCATTGGACCTTCAGCATTTTCATAGACACAACTGAAGTGTAGAGAGGTTTCGTCTAAACCAAAACAGACCATGTTGTAGACATTACATCATTTTTACCTATCAAGAGACACTTGGCTGTTTCCTGCTAAGGGGAGCCTAAAGAAAGGGCAAACCCATGGTGGTGAGGCCAGGAGGCTGCAGGGTCGTATTCCTGGGATTTTCTGACTCTGGGTAATTGAGAGCTGGCATAACATCTGGCAGCCCTAAGATGAATCGATCCTTGACTCAATGTCTGTCCCTGTACCTGCTCCCTGGTGTGTAAAGCACATAAAGAGAAATGCTAATTAATATTAGTGCTGTCCGACTCCGAGTAATGAAGATTCCTGTGCCCCCCAACACTCACTCTCTGCTTGGCTGCATGAGAGCTTTAGCAGTAACAAGAGTTTCTCCATCTGCAGGTGCTCTGTGGTTGCTCGGTCCATGTCTGAGCTAGAGCAGAGGTCCTGATGCTGCCCTGAAGTACTATGTTACAGCCCGGCTGTGGCCTGCACCTCAGGCTGACAGGTGGCTTTCTAAAACTGGGTGTGGACAAATGTTAGAATTGTGATGTCTTTTCATTTTCATCGTCAGATTTGAGTTTAAAACAAGTGGCCAGTGTCTGTAAATCTGGAACTGCTGTTGTACTCCTCACCGTCCCTAGCTCCCAGGGCTGCAGTAATGCGTGACACAGGACAGTATGCTGGCTTCCGGAAGTGAGTGGTGTGAGACGGTGACCCTACACTCGGACAGGAGGAGCAAAGGGGTGGACGGGCCTGCCCTAGGGTGCAGGGACCCGATGACCCTAACGGGGTACTCAGGGAGGAGGTGCAGATCCACTCCCGGGTGGTCTGGTGATAGGGATAGAGATGTCATTCCCGTGGCTCCCTTGAAACAAGCCACGAAGTCACAGGGGAGGTTGCCCTCCTGTGTGATGGGAAGCTGGGAGCAGGGTGGGTCCGTACAGGCTGAGCTGAAAGTGGCCCGGTGGCCTGCTGTCCCCCTGGGGTGGGATTCTGCCTCGGTGTGGGGGCTGGGTGTAAACGCTCTCTGGCTCTAGGAGCCTCTGAGGAGTCCCAAGGGTACCCTTGGTGGCACGCTGAGATGTCACAGCACCCCTAGGGCACACCTCAGTGCTCTGTGACTGCGTTTTGGTCTCACCCCCACAGAGGTTTGTAACAAAAATCTCCTAACTGTGACGCAGGAAGATGTGGAACTCAGAGGGCAAGGTTTGATTTGACTAGGATCCAGCAGAGAGCAGGAGTTTGATCATTTTTCCTTATATATTATTAGTGCATGTTCGGGGGCTTGATACAAGTATTTTTTTTGATGAATCATGTCGTGTTAATTAATAAAAGGGGGGAAACCAGCAGTTAGCATAATGGCTATGTCGCTGGACTCCCACGTAGTCAACCGTGGTTCGCGTCCTGGACCCGGTGGCTTAAAACTCACACCGGGTGCGTGTGCATGCATGCCCAAGATCCTGAGAGGAGAATGGAGGAGAAGGGATTGTGGCATGACCATCCCCCCTGGGGGGTGATTTCTCGCTTTCTGTCACTATGTCTCTCTCTGTCTGTCTGGCGAGCGCACGCGCCCTATAGCAAAAAACCTCTTAAAAAATTAATAAAAGGGAAAATAATGTAACTACCTCATAAATATCACACAGGGAAGTTACCAGGGGTGTGTAAATTTCTTGACAGAGATGGAGTATGATTTCAGAACGTCAGTCAGCCTGTTCCACTTGGTGTTTACAGCTGCTTCTTAACATGAGCAATAAGCCAGGCTGAGGCCCACACACTGAGGCCCACTGGTCTTATGTTAGACGTTCAGGCATATCATCCCACATGCTGAGGCCCACACGCTGAGGCCCATACGTTGAGGCCCACTGGTCTTATGTTAGAGCAGAGTGAAAGCAGGTGATCAAATACCAAGCCTGGGTCCTCTGGGTAAGTATGGCCGCATTCACACTGACATTTGCAGGTGTGTGGGATGATATGCCTAAACGTCTTCCTCTTTGGAAGGCCCGTAAGCAGAGGGGCACACAGACATGACCCTAGGATGCTGTTAACACTCCCATCCTCTTTGATAGACATGCACTGTGAAGAGTCACCACTGATCTGGCTCGCATTTGAAAGGGTGTTTGTTTTGGTGAGTTATTCTAAGATTCGTACACAGCTTTATTTTTTAGAGTTGCAATATTACAGTCACACTTTGGACCTTGGCTTGACTTAAGCAGTACCTTGGGGAGTGATCTAAGGGACGGTGTGTGCAGAGGTTCACTGCAGGTCATTTGAGTCTCAGGTCTGTGAAACAGAGGCATGAGCACCTCAGTCTCACAGCTTTGCAGAAACCCCCTACATGTGAAGATAGTACAAAGACAGTACACATCTGTAAATGTCTTCTGATATTTTGAAATAAAGATCATTTTAAATTAAAAAAAAAAACAAACTCACATCAGGCACATGTGCATGTGCACCCGAAATCCTGAGAGGATAATGGAGGAAATGGGACTGTGGAATGGCTATCCCCCCCAGGGGATGATTTCTCACTTTCTGTCTCTCTGGTGACTGCATATGCTCTATAGCAAAAGTCTCAAAAACATGGCAATTACACCCAAATTAACCTACATATTTAATGCAATCCCTATCAAATTATCAGAGACATTCTTCACAGATCTAAAGACAATCATAGAATTCATCTGGAATTATAAAAGACCCAATATTGCAAAAGGAATCCTGAACAAGAAGAGTGGAATAGGAGGCATCGCACTCCCTAACTCCAAAATATATTATAAAGCAGTGATAATCAAAATAGCAGGGTATTGGCACAAAAACAGACAGGTAGACTGATGGAACAGAATAGAGACTCCAGAAATAAACTCCAAAACACACAATGAACTGATTTTGTACAAAGGCTATCAGTCAACCCCTTGGTAAAAGAAAAACCTCTTTAGCAACTGGTGCTGGAAATACTGGGTATCCACCTGCAGAAAGATGAAACTGAATCCCCATCTTTCACCATTAACAAAAATCAACTCAAAATGGATCAAAGATCTGAATCTAAGACCTCAAACTATAAAACTCCTGGTGGAAAACACTAGGGAAACTCTGGGAGACATTGGGGTAGGCAAAGGCTTCTTGAATAAGACCTGCAAAGCAAGTCAATAATCACAAATATACAGAAGTTTGATTACATCAGATTAAGAAATTTATGCAAAAGACATAGTAATTAGTGTGAATCGACAACCCTCAGAATGGCAGAGTATTTTTGTAAACTATGCCTCAAATAAGGGACTTATAACTACAATACACAGGGGACACAAGTAACTTAAGCAAAAAAAAAAAAATCAAACAAACAAAAAACAACTCTCTAAGAAAGACATGGAAGACATATGAACAACCAAAAAGCAAATGAGGAGGAAATGTTCAACATCCCTTATTATAAGGGAGATGCAAAACAAAGCTACAATGAGATACATCGAACCCCAGTCAGAATGGCAAAGATTAAAAAAATGAAAAGGATAAGTGTGGGTGAGGCTGTGGTGAAAGGGGAACCCTCCTACACTGCTGGTGGGAATGTAAATTGGTCCAGCCACTGCAGATAACAATATGGAGGTTCCTCAAAGATCTACAAATAGCCTACCATTTGATCTAACAATTCCACTTTTGGGTATCTACCTAAAGTATAGGAGAATGCTCAGTCAGCAAACTGCTTATATATCTATGTTCATTGTGGCATTATTCACAATTGCTAAGACATGAACCAACCCAAATTTTCACAGACAGATGAATGGATTGAAAAAATGTTGCACATATACTCTATGGAATATTACTCAGCCATAAAAATCAACAAGATCATCCCAGCATTTGATAGAAAGTGGACAAATAAGGAAGATTTACTGCTGAGTGGAGCAAGCCAGGCTATGAAAGAGAGACACTATGTCTCCGCTTAACATATACTGATTACCTGCATTTTATGGTGGAAACTGAAACAGACTAGAGGATAAAGAAGCATGGAAAATGCTGTGGGATACTAAAAACAGTGTGCGAAGAGGGTGGGAGAAGGGGGAGTGTATGAGGAAAGGAATTAAGGAGGAAAATCGAGGCAAGACACCAGTTACATAACCAGCATGCCATCTGCTGGTCTCAATATTTTAGAAATTTTATTAAGCTCCAGAACAAATCAATAAACAAGAAAGTGAAGTTTGTGTAGATTTTCCCTCAGTGTGATCTTAAAAGAATTTGTTTACTATTGTAATTCCAATGTGAAAGTTCACCCCCAAAAATAAATAAATAAAATAAAAGTGGGCAGGGAATATAGCTTAAATTCACTAGGTTCAAATGTGCCTCCTTATCTGACTTAAAATTTGCTGGGTGAAATTAAAGAAATCCTTGAAAGCCTAAAATAAATGTCCTCTCAATAAATAACAAAAGAACTTAAATCACATTCAGCAAATCTGAAACTATACATTGTATTTTACTACTTCTTAAATCTTTACATCTACCCATTAAAGTATAGAAGATGATGTACCTGTATAAAGGAGATTATTTGTTGCAGTAAAGGATGGGTTGGCTTGTTTTATGTTTTACTCTTGAAGTATAGTCCTTTTATCTGCTTGAAAGTGTTTAGTGCCACTTACGTATATAACTCTTCCCATTGCTCTAAGTTAACTATTTCACCCTTTTCTAAACTGACATAATCACCAAAGTTATGGTGAATGAATATTGCCTAAATCACTTATTTTATATCTTATTTATGCTCATAATTTCTTCAGTCTTCATAATCAAGCACAAACTAAGTTGAATTTCTATTCAGTCATAAGATTCAGTGTCTTGGCCTTCCCAAGTTCCACCCACCTGCACAGAAGAGAACCAGAGAGGCAGCTACTGAAGAAGAGAAGTGGAAGTTCCCTGTCAGTGTTCTATTACCTAAGTCTGTGCTTTTGGATCCTTGCCTGTACT